GTGGTTCGGCTTTGGCCGAGTCGCCTGGGCGTTCGCCGTGTCGTCCGTTGTCCGGTTTCGCGGTTTTCGCAGTTTATCGGTTTATCCGAGCTTCGTCGTTGATCCAAACTCTGATTTGGTAGTCCGTATCCTGATTTGGCAGTAAACCCGCTTCGGTGTTCGAGTTCGAATCCATTCTACGGTTGGATGACTCGTTGACTCACCGAATCGTTAGCTTGATTCCGCATGCGAGTGGATGTATTCCGTTGTTTGCGTGCGGTTCGTTAGCCTCGTTGCCTTGTTAATCCGCTTAGTCACGTATCACTTGGCCTCGATGTTGTGGACTAACGATCGTGTTTAGATACGTCACCCGATGGTTCGTTGGTTTGTCGAATCACCGTGTCAGATACGTCACCCGATGGTTCGTTGGTTTGTCGAATCACCGTGTCGAGCTGTGTTAAGGGACCCATAGGTAGTTTTACACGCCTACAGATACCCCCTCCAAAGTATTTCAGCTTCGTTCTTTTATAGAAGAGTCTGGAATACTTTGGATATAATTGTTCCAACCTTCAGTCGGTGTAACACGACCTTGGAATGGCTTATGTTCTTGATTCCTTCCATCCTTCAGGCTATTCGGTGCTTTGTCGTCAGTCTGTAAGGGTTCCGGTGCTGCATTTATTGTCTGACCGTTGTCAGAATTTTGAACTTGAAGTCGATTCCTGATTTTCTGATCTTTAGCTCGTGTTTGTTGGTTTAACATAGAACTGACCATCGATTATCGGCGTTGAGTGCTTATTTGCGACGCGTTGTCCGGCGTAGTGTTGTTGAGTTATCCTTAAGAATATTTTTTTTAGAAAAATATTCTCCAGGAACCTCTCAACAAAAAATAGGGAATAATTTATACTCGTATACCTTGTTGGAGTATTGTTCATGTCCGAATGAGCTGAACCGGCTTGGTCTGGTCTGATTCAGCTTGGTCTGATCCGGTTCAGTCTGGTCTGGTGTCATTGAGTTGACTAACTATCTCCATCACATCGTGCTGACTCAGGGTTCCAGATCACTGTTCATTGACTTTTGGTTGCAACGCGTTGACTGGTGTTGATGTGACGCCCCTGTTTTCACACTTGGCTGTAGTCCAAGGTGAACCCAGATATGTCAAACCTGTCATGCACCTCCACTGTGCAACAACATGTTTCACCAATCACAGTAATATCCTCTAGTGGAAACCAATATAAATGAAGGTACAAAACAGGCAAATAAGGGAAATAAATACTATAGTCATGATACAGAAAGATATATCTCATAAATGAAATCATGTCCCAAATAAACTAAACTGGAATACAACTGATATACATCTGGAGTCTAAAATAACATGATATGTCTCAACATGAATCGATTAGAAATCGTACTAAGGCATATTGTTGTTTGAGTCAAAAGTCGGTTCTGTTGAGGAATTCATTATATCTTCAAGCGATTACAATAAATTCAAAGAAATAGTCTTTTTTATAAGACCTCTTTTACACAACAAAGCAGAAATTACAACTTTTGAGAAACAAACACAAAAATCGTCTATCGATCTTTGTTTTCGTGGGACTTTGCCTGTGCCGGGAACGCTTTGGTTCGTGGACCGTCGAATCACAGATCGTGAAGAGGAGGTTTACTGATTCTGACTTCGTTTATCGAAGTGAGAACTTGAAACGATATCTTATCGAAGTAAGATAGTCGTTCTTCTTAAAATCAAGTCAAAGCTTAATTTCAATGCGTTGTATGAAAACTCAAATCTGCTCTCTCTACTCTGGAATGCTCGAAAATATGCTTGATCCTCGTCAGAAATGACCCTAGGGGGGTATTTATAACCTCTGGAGTTCATAACTGAAAAAACTCAACAAACGACGAAATTAGACTGGCGAGACAGTGTTTACTGTCTCGCTGGGCGAGACAGTGTTTGCTATCTCGACCCGCGAGATAGTAAATACTGTCTCGGAAACAGTAACCGCAGGCAGTTTTCGTTTTAACTGCCTTCCCACGTTTCGGGGAATTTGGCAGTACCTAAAACTTTTCTTCTAAAACTTGGTCTTTTTCTTTTCAAATTCAAAAACATAGATGATATGAAAAGCATTTTGGAGAATGGACCTTGGTTCTTTGGTTCCAGGCCTATTCTCTTGAAGCCTTGGAACATCGATGAAGACTTGGAGAAAAGTAAAGAGAGTGTTTACCCTGTCTGGATACAATTACCAGGTTTGGGGCTGAGCTTATGGAATGCAAAGAGCATTAACAAAATTGCTGGCATTATAGGAAAACCAATTATCACTAATATGCTTATAGCTAATAGGCAAAGACTTGCATATGCTAGAGTTTTAGAGGAAATAAATTTGCCTTCTGCTCTTCCTGATGAAATTACAATAAAAGGACCAGATAGAAAAAATATCCTGCAGAAGGTATATTATGAGTTGAAGCCTAGATGGTGTGAAGTATGTAAAGTTGTGGGTCATGACACACTACATTGTAGGAAACATGCAAGGGTTCAAATATGGAGGCCTAAACAAAAAGTAGATCCTTCAGTAAAAAAAATTAGAGTGGAATCTGTTATCTCTCCTGTGCATGTTGTACACTTTCAGGATGGTGTAAATAAAATCCAGACAAATACTCATGTCCTACCTGACCCTGACTTACTTGTTCAGAAGCCTATTCAAGCACAATCTGTGCTGCAAATGCATATTCAAGCACAATATGTGCCACAAATGCCTGTGAATACATCTCAGAGTGTTGGGATTGAGCAGATTTTAGGAAATGGTGTGGAATGAATACTGATAACTTTACAAATGAGAGGACTCCTATACATGCTGAGCAGATGAATCAAATGGAAAAAAGAGAAATCTTGAGCTTAGGAAATGTTTCAGGATTTCAGCTGGAAAAAATGTTGTGCATGTTTCACAGTCAGATTTTGATACTCATACACACTCAGGAAAATCTTGGATGCTAATGCAAAGGGGAAAAAGTAAAAAGAGGCTCTCACCTATTAATTCCTTCTCCCCACTAGCTGGAATAGTATGTGATCTAGATCCCTCTACAATGGATAGAGTGGATCAAACCTTATGAATTTTTCTTTTTGGAATGTTAGGGGACTAAACAAGTCCTCTAAACAACACCTAATCAAGCAGCATATTTTACAATATCATCTCTCTTTTATTGCCTTGCTAGAAACAAAAGTAAAGGAGGTTAAAATTACAACTATAACAAAGAAAATTGCCACTAATTGGAAATGGATCTCAAATGTATTAGGCACAAAAAAGGCAAGAATACTGATTTTATAGGATCCTGATTTAATGAATATACAAGTTGATTACATTTCACCTTAGCATATAACCTGCACTGTCAAAACTATGGATGGGAGGATAAATTGTATTATATCTTTCTATCTATGGTTTTAATCATCAGGATTCAAGAAAGGCTCTATGGACTGAGCTCCTCCAAGTGCATCAGACTGTTGGAAATACACCATGGCTTTTATGTGGGGATTTCAACACTATGATCAATAATAATGAAAAGCTAGGACGAATTGCACTTACAGATGCTAATACGAAAGACTTCAATTCTTTCATTGAAGACATCCATCTCTTACACCTAAAAACATTGGGTTGTTTCTTTACTTGGAACAACAAACAAGACCATGATGCTAGGGTTTGGTGCAGGTTAGATAGAGCTCTTGTAAATGACTCCTGGACCCATAAGTATAACTCTAGTCATGTGGAATTCTTGCTTCCAAACTTCTCAGATCATTCTCTTGCATTAGTTACTATATATAAGGAGGATATATAGGCAAGGTAAAAATCCTTTTAAGTTTTTTAATATGTGGATTAATCATAGCCTGCCTATAGTATCTTCATATGGCAGAGGCAAATTGAAGGGTTCAAAATGTATTCAGTTGTTACAAAACTCAAATTGCTGAGAGAAACTCTAAATGATTTAAACAGAAAACATTATGGAAATATTAGTGAACAAGTAGAAAGAGCTAAATATGCACCGGAGGAAGTTTAAAATAAGCTACAGGAGGATTTTCTCAATCCTGGTCTTATCAAATAGGAAAAAGATTGCTTGTCTGCTTATAATAAATTCTTACAATATGAGTTATATGTTTTCCAGCAAAAAACAAAAATTCAATGGAGCATTAAAGGAGATAGATGTAGAAGCTATTTTCATTCTATTATCAAAGCTAATAGGCACCTGTAGGCTGTCTAAAAATCACAACAGATAGTCAATTCCTATTAAACACTGATGATAGAAATTACAATTCGACGGCTTCCAGAATGCTACAATTTAAAGACTTTCACATAGATCGATGAAGGTTATAATCTGACGACCTTCGTAACAACTGATAAAAGCTCTAATTAACAGCCTTCACAATCAACAATGAGAGTTATAATTTGACGACTCTCATATTTTTAAAGACCCAAGATAAAGATTACAAGATGACGGTCTTTGCAACGCTCTAGCAAAAGAGACCACAAATTGATGGTCTCTTCACATCAAAATGCAGAGGTCATCCTTACGTTATACCATCAAAACGCAGAGGTCATCCCTGTGTTATAACATCAAAACACAGAGATCATGCCCGTGTTACAATATCAAAACGTAGAGGTCATGCCCACGTTTCAGAGTCAAAACGCAGAGGTCATCCCCAGCACTCCAATTAAAAACGCAGAGTTCGTGGACTCAAAATACAGAGTTCATCTCTGCGTCCAAACTCTGTGTTTTAGATTTACAACGCAGCGTGACCTGTGAGTTCAGCCACCAAAATAGGCCAAACTCTGTGTTTTAAGTCTAAAACGTAGAGTTCGGGCCCTGAACGCTATTTTTCAGTATTTGACTCGTTCAAAGGACGAACTGAACGGTTTTAAAATTATTTTCCCCACGATTTAGGGAGCAGTTTAAGGGGGTGGTTACACCCCTTAATCCCCTATAAATAGGAGTAAACTCAACTGAGTTCAGGCTTTTAGATCTTGAAGTATCTTGGAGATCTAGAGATCGGCTTCTTCGGATTATCTTCTCGACAGCAGATCATCTTGGAGCTTCCTGCAGCAACAAAGTTCTTATAGCATTTCCTTGGCTTATTAACCAATTTTTCGGTCTAAATCAACTCTTTTTCAAGAGTTTAAACTTGCTTTGAGTTATCAACTCGTTCAATGTTTCAAACTTGCTCTGCTAGTTCTTCTAAACTCGTGCAGAGTTATAAAACTTGTTTTATAAGTTCTCCACAGCGTCAAATCATGAGGAGGAGATACCGTTCCAGTAAATCAAGATGTTCAGATCATCAACAGAGAGCAAACTCGATGCGAACATTCGAGGGAGACACTCCATCCCACCATAAAGAATCCAGATTTAAACAAAGGGGAGAATTCAGATTAATGCTCTTCTCTTTTGTAATCAGAAAATCCAAATTGTAATTGAGATTGAGAGAGTTATAAACATTTTTTTCTAAGCAATTAGAGCAAATAAAATCAAACATGATTCTTTCATCACCTTCTTATTACAAATTTTCTACCAAACAGCACCAAAACAAAATTCTAGTTCTCACAAACAGCATGGGTGAGAGAATTACAGAGGGTGGGGAGATTGCAAATAAACTTGTCTCTTACTTCAAAAATCTTATGGGTACAGCAAGTGCAACATCTCCTCCAGAAATCAGGATTATTAAGAATGATCCTTATTTGAGTGAAAATCATATAAATAACCTTTCTTCACCAGTCATAAGAGATGAGATTAAGAGGGTTGTTTTCTCCATGGCAGACAATAAGTCCCTAGGACCAGATGGCTATGGTGCTTCTTTCTTTAAGTCAGCATGGTCTACTATAGGAGATAAAGTTACACTTGCAGTTGAAGAGTTTTGCAGCACAGGAAAATTACTGGGTGCCATAAACTCCACTTCTATTACACTAATCCCTAAGGTATCCTATCTAAACACTCCTACAGATTTCAGACCAATTTCATGTTGCAACTGCCTATATAAAATCATTTCAAAAATCATTGCAAATAGGATTCAATCAGTCATGGGGTATCTCATTAGTGAAGCACAAAGTGCTTTTGTAAAAAGAAGACACATAACAAACAACATTCTGTTAGCCCATGAATTAGTTAAAAACTATAGAAGGAAGCACATCTCTCCTAGAGTCATGGTTAATATTGACATTAGAAAGGCTTTTGACACTATTAGTTGGAATTTTATAAAGGAGATGCTTCAAGGCTTGGGTTTCCCTAAGGATTTGATCAATAGAGTCATGACTTGTATAACTACTCCAAAGTATTCAATATCTCTAAATGGCTTACTACATGGTTACTTTAAAGGTAAAAGAGGTCTAAGGCAAGGAGATCCCCTCTCTCCATACTTGTTTATCTTGGGAATGAAATATCTTACAAGAAGTTTGGATCTTCTTAAACAGGATGGGGACTTCAAATTTCATCCTAAATATGGAAGGCAAAAAATTTCTCACCTTATATTTGCAGATGACTTGTTGCTCTTTTGCAAAGGTGACCTTAATTCTATCCAAAAAATTCACCAATGTGTTAACAGCTTTAGTCAAGTCTCAGGACTTGAAGAAAATCCTAGTAAATGTGCAATTTTCTACAGGGGAGTAGATGAAACTGTAAAGGAATCGATCCAGAATTTTTTAGACTACACTGAAGGGAAAATGCTAATCAAATACCTAGGTATTCCTCTTGTATGTAAGAGACTAACCTACCTGGATTGCAACCCTCTCCTAAGCAAAATCTCCAATCAATTACAGAATAACTTGAAGAACAAAAGCCTGTCGTATGCTAGAAGATTACATGTGATAAAAAGTATAATTCTGGGAATTCAAATTTACTGGACTTCTAGCTATGTTCTACCAATGAAAGTGTTGCAAAAAGTGGATGAACTCTGTAGGAATTTCCTCTGGGGTAAGAGTAATCTTACTTTTAAGCACTCACTGGTTTTATGGGATAGAGTATGTATAAGTAAATTGTATGGTGGTTTAGGAATTTTCTCTTCAACCATTTGGAACATAGCAGCAGCTCTGGAGATATTATGGGACATACATGTCAATAAAGAGCTGCTATGGATCAAGTGGATTCATGACACCTATCTAAAGCACATGGATATATGGAGGGTGCAAATGAAAGTTTGTGATTCTTGGATGTGGAAACAGTTACTTAAAGATAGGAATAAAGGCATTGCTCAATGTCGAGGATTGGATAATCTGAAGAATCTAATCAGATCCTGTTGCAGGAACTCAAAAATTAAGATGTCAGACTTATACCATGCTCTATCTCCTGCTACTAAAAAGTGCTATGGCGTGTTACTATCTGGGGGGTTTTAATCAGCCTAAACACTCTTTTATCTCATGGCTAGCAATCCGAGATAGGCTCCTAACTCAGGATAAACTGTTTCGGAGAGGAATCATTCAAGCAAATCGATGCTTTTTATGCTCGGGAGCAGAAACTGAAAGTTCTAGTCATCTATTCTTTGAATGCAAATTCTCTAAAGATGTTTGGAATGGAATAATGGATTGACTCTGTTTCAGGTGGAGAAGATGTGATTTAAACCAATTGTTGAATTGGTATAGTTGCAACTTAAGGGGGAAAGAATTCAAACACAAAGTTAAAAGAATGGCTCTTACATCCACTATCTATAACATTTGGATTGAACGAAATGGGAGGATTTTCAAACAAAAAACAGAGAAATTATGTTTGTTATCAAGATCATCAAGGTGGACCTGATGACAGCTATTCTAAATAGTGATACTACTGCTAAGAATAAAGATTGGATACTATCTTTATAGTCCTCAAATATTTGCAGGTTTGTTCAAATACTGACAGTTTTGTTCAGCTGCTGACAGTTCTCTAAGGTTTGCAGGTAAAATGCAAACTTTGAGAAGTTCACGGAAGGGGTAGTTGTAATGATTTGCCTGCTTTAGTTCAGGGGATATCAGCTTGCGACGCAACTCTGCTCATGCTTATAAAGCTCTGTACATATGAGTTTCTTTGAGCTTTTGTTTTAGGTTTCATTTGTTATCTCATATAAGTGATGAGATGCTTGATGTACATATAAATTTCATATTGGTGATGAATAAAAATTTTTATTTACCAAAAAAAAAGTTATGAGGAGTTTTGTAAAATTTACCTTTAATGTAACACTACGCTAACACCTCACTTCCCCCCCACACACACAGAATCATGGTCCTTTAAGAAACTCTTAAAGCAAATAGTATCTTGAAAGAAGAAGAACTATGATCCAGGAAATGAGTGTAGGGGCTTAAAAATAACTTTTCAACAATTCCTTCAATGCAGAAAATTACAAATAGCTTTTAACAATTTTCTCATTTGAAAGACATACAATATATAATACTCCAACAGCACCGACATCCGAATCCAACACGTACGAGCCGGCACTACTCACCCAACCAAACACTCACCACCACGGACAATTTCAACCCCGAACAAGCTAAACTCAAACCCCAAATCCAAACGCAAACAAGCACACGAAAACGCCCAGCACAGCCCCAAACGGAAAACCCCACTAGGCCCCTCCCACCCCCACTGTACTCATCCCCAACCGCCCCTGCCCATTTCCGAACCCAAAAGTCCGCTCACCGCTCCACTCCCCTCGTGCCCGAACGGCATATTCTCCTGCCCCTGACGCCGATCGGCTGCGCAAAGGCGGCAATGCCGGAGCAGCCCGCCGATCCCGGCTCACCGCCCGCTGCCCGACTCTCGCTCGTCGCTAGCTCTCACAGTCGAGATCGACGAACCTATCTCTAATCCTATGTCGGCCTCGTCGACGA